ATGAGTGTAGCCTGCCGTATGTGTGTGTGTGTGTGTGTCAGTGATGTAATTCCCGAAGGCTCTCAGTCTAAGTTCCTGGAAATGGTGTGCTTTGGATTTCATTGGCTTCACATTACTTCAGCTGAATGTTGGTTGAAAGTTGTTTTACTTTTCTAGAGATGAGCAAAGACTTGGCTGTGGATATTTACAGACGAATAGAATACTGGGTAGTTGAAATCTGAACTTTTTAATCTAAAGGTAGTGTATGTGCTGATAGTCGCAGATGGCTTTCAGTTCTGCATAATAATGAGTGTATTGTCTTACGTGTAGCATATGTACACACCCAGTAGATTTTATGTAATGGTATTTAAAATTGTATATTCCGTTGTTACTGTAAACGTAGATTCAACAGTTTGTTTGTAAATTGAATGCCGCTTTAGTGTTAGTAACCCAATGAAACTACTGTTTTCTTCCCTTTGTTGACACATTTCCTTGATTTTATATTGTTAAAAATATTGTAAAAGTTCAAGATACTTCATCAATATTTTTTATTTACTATAATAAATACTATTATACAGTTTTAATACTTACTTCTGTTAAATGAAGAAATAATGGAATCATATTTTAGGAGTATAGAGATGACCTAAAGGCTACCAAACATGGACCAAAAGTCACTCAAGTCCAGTTTTGATTCTATGGGCTCTTAATGCGACTAGTCAACCCGGTCTCATCCCAAGACGTCATATAACTAAATGTCATTTCAAAATACATCCCAAGACGTCAGTTATATGACTTTTTGGGATGAGACTGTGTTAGACTAGTCGGGACCCTGTGTGATTCAGCCGATAATCTCCCACAGAAAACAGTGACATGACAGTTATTTTTGTCAAACAAAAGGCTTTGGGTCAGTCTTACCGTAAACCCTAATTGGTTTTGGCTGATTTTCTATTCAGATATAAATGTTGTTTTACAGAGTTATGTCAACTGTTTTGTCGTTTTAGCTTTGTTACTGAGCAAATAATTTGATACGTTAATGATAATTAATGTTTTAATCACAAATTCATTGGCACACCCACTCAGACTCGCACATAAACGCATGCCATGTGCTTTTAGAGTCTGTGTGTGTGTAATAATGAGGAATTAAGATTCAGCTCTGATCTTTTGTTTTCACTTAGTCCATTTGGCCTCTTCATGCTCAGACACTGTCGTTTGATCACACATTAATTCACGCTACACTGAGATCCAGTAATGTGTGAGAGATGGAAGCAACGGATGTGGGACACTTTTATTGGATCTGAAATAGAATGTTGTGCACATGGGCATACAAGCACTAAATTAAACATAAAACAAATTAATTAATGTGTCTCATGATCTTAAACATTTTGATTTGTGCATTGGTTTTGTAGACAAATGTGCCTATACATATTGATTTACTTACAAAACGGTTTATGTTCAACTCTGGCTGACATTTGACATCACCGAGTGACTGATAGTAATAAAGTGTTCTTCCCGTAAACTGATAGTTCATTAAACCTCTGCTTGTTTTTTTTATTTTTTATTATTTTTTTTTAATGACGCATATTCACTTCCTGTCCTTTTCCCCAATTTACGGTCATAGGTTAGAGTTTAATCCCATAATCCAAATATGACTGCAGTTCATGAGGCTGACACTGAGATTTATAGCATCATTCATAAAAGCCTGAGTATTTTAATAATTTGTCACAGCTTCCTTTGGTCATCATTAATGTGCAAATAAACAGTCAAGAACATGAGCAAGCAAAAACGGTGGGAAAATACAGCAATTTCCTGTATTTAATAGTCCGATAGATATTCCTTAATGAGGTGAAATAGAAGAAAATGGAATCATCAGAAAGGTATTCATATAAAATGCACTGGGGCATGTTTCCTTCTCCTTGGGTGTTTTCTACAACAGAAGTGTTCATGTCATTTAGGTTAGGAAAAATGGTGGAATAATTCATGAGAATGTTACATTTGTTTTTTATTAAATCACGTGTTCTTGTGGGTCATGTGATAGTGTTTCTTTAGGATTGAGAGTCTGTTTATGGGGTTGGTCTGATTCTGCTCAGTCAGCTTGGATACGGTTATCCATGACTTGCACTTTGTCCTGGATTTCCATCTGTTTATGATTAAGTGAAATATTTCTACGTAATTTCCAAATATGCGGCTTTACCCAGCACTAATCGTTCAGACTGGATTCCAGTCTGCTTCTGTCCCAACGGAACTTTTCAAAACCGTTCTACTGGTGGGATGGGATCTTATCTGGAAATCATGCGCTGGAAAGCATGACGGGCAGGACATGTAAAACTCTACAAATATGGACACCCATCTGTATGGGATACGGCATTAAGGATGCAGCCTGTTATTAAGAGCAAAGAATAATCACAGTGAAACTGGTTTTATTAGAGTGCCCCTATGGTTTTTCGAATATTCCTTTTCATGCCGTGTGTAATATAGCCAAGCTGTTTGTGAATGTAAATCTTCTGCAAAGTTGTAAAGTCGATAAATAAAGTTATTGGCTCACAAAAGAAAGAATCGACCCGCCCAAACAAGTATTTTGTAATTCGAATCCACTGGGTTACGGTTCTACGTCACTAGAAAATAACAAAAGTCTACTTTGCCCGCAAAAACAACTCCCGCTTTCAAAAACATCATTTTACTGATCAAATCTTGGAGTTTTATAGGTTTTGCTCTGGAAAGATGGGTCAGTACCCAGTTTATTTGGACCAGCTTGCTCCTCAGAATCACAACCTGTAAGTAAGTATGTATTAGTTTTGCAATCTTTAATGTTACATCATTCACGTTAGTGCTCGGCTTACGTATGGCACCCTTTATCGTTAATATAACACGCGAACCCAAGACGTCATAAATCCTTTAGCGTGAATATGACACGCACACCCTACCCCACACTTAAACTTAGCCCTCACAGCGCGTGTTATATTAACGATAACGCGTGCCATGTGCGTAGTATAGCGCCGTTTTTGCATATAGCATTCTATATTACGTTAAAGGATGAGAATGCGTTGGTTATTGTTACAGTTCCCACATTTACACCGCAATAAGACATAGCTAGATGATGGACATACTTGTTAATAGTAATGGTGAGATATAACATTTGTAACATCTCATAATGTACCTCAAACAAACTGAGTAGTGTATCACTGAGAAATGTCCTGCTCATGTCATCCTTCCGATGGTGGACTCACGCTCGGATTGACTCACGCTCGGATTGACTCACGCTTGGATTGATATGGTAAAATCGATGCCATCGTTACTGTCTTTACAGTGTGTTTAATTGCTGAGGACTGAGGAAGTCTCCTGAGCTAAAGTTTAGTTATGGTTATACGCGTTTAGCTTCCAACAAGGCAAACGCGGTGGACCAATCGCAACAAATCGCAACCAATCAGGCCAATCAGAGAAGATCAGAGAAAAAGGAGAATTTAGAGAAACTGATTCATCTGACGAGTCGTTTGAGAATCATTGTGCACAATGTATATTATGAGAAAATTAAATTGTTGTTTGACCTTTAATGCATGTAAACTTGTTGTAGGATACCTCCAAATCAACCTTTAAAATAGCATAATGGGGCACTTTTATTCCAAATGCTATTTTATTGTCATTGTTGATCATGTATTTCACAATGCTGCTGCACTAAGTTGAGTGCTAAACAGTGGCTCATAGTTTGATTGCATGCACTGATTTCATCAAGCGTGGTCACCTCCATAGCATTTGTTAAATTACTGTATCACTGAATTGCACTGCTCCAGAAAAGCTCATGGGTTAGCAAACATACAAATGGTATATTTGTTGCATTGCTATGTGTTTAGGCAGACTGTAATTGTCTATTCTTGTGAAGATCAGATCAAATTTTAGGAAGACCAGTGTGTCTGCAGAAAAATGTACATAATTTCCTGTACATAATAAAACTGAGCCTGGAGAGCTATGAAAAGTGCTGTACAAGTCAACTGTATTTAAATATATAGAAATGGAATCAAAGTCAACTCTCTACTCTTAGATCAAACTGTATATATATATATATATATATATATATATATATATATATATATATATATATATATGTATATATATATATATATATATATATATATATATATATATATATAGAGAGAGAGAGAGAGAGACTTGCCTTATTTCAGCCATCTGTTTTATTCTAAAAACTCTTTTTTATAGGCAAAACCTCACTGTTCGATGAGAAGAGAAATGATTAAAACTTGGAGGATAAAAAAAAGCAGTCCCTCAACTCTTGCGGTCTGTTTCCCTTGAACTGAGTGAAAGCGCACTGCTCAATTTGACCTGTAGGAGGTTTCACTGAGTCAGGTTTCAAGTGCGAGAGAAACCAGAAGATCAGGGTAAATACAAATGTGTCAAGATAGGGGGAGGGAATAGTAGAACAGTTAGAAAGGATATTCCCATATAAAAAAGAAAATCTAAATCGAATTTTCCAATATTTACTAAATGCTTCTCCATTTTTGTTCATAAGAAGTAGGATATAAGACAGTTATGACTGCAAAATTCCTTATTGTACAGTATTTGATTAGCGTTCCAGCAACCTTTGCATCACGTTTATTCATTTAGCAGATTCTTAGATCCCAAGCAACTCACAAATAAGAAATAAAACAACATTGTTCAATTGTCATCTGGCCAGTCAGCCACAGGAATAAAATGCGGGTTATGTGTCCTGTTTTTACATTTACATTTATTCATTTAGCTGACGCTTTATCCAAAGCAACAGAGGGGTTAAGGAGGGGTTAAGTGTCTTGCTCAGGGACACATTGGTATTCGAACCCGGGTCTCTCACACCACTATTTGTGCTCTAACTGAGAAGATTGGCATCTTGTTGAATTCTGCTTATGTTATTTAAGCACACATAACCATAGTAATTTATTTCTAACAAGAACCGGTATTATAACAAAATATTTCATTCAAGTCCACTGAGCCAGAGAGAGATATACGGATGCAGGAAAGATTAACACAACACTAAAATACACCGAACATCAATATTTTAATAGCAACTTTTGGTTACATTTAAAACCTTTCTAACAAAATACCATTAATTAAATCATTGATTAAATTAAAACCTTTATGAGCAAATTCAAAACTCCTTACAAAGTCTACAATAGACCGTTGGAGACCCCAAAAAAAGCGGCTCCACAACAGTACGTCCTACGCTGGTGACATCAGCGGAGCACTGCTCCATTTCCCAAGGCTAAATGGTGACACAAATTGTGTGCCATGTTTTTGGATCATAATTCAAATGGACTAACCCCGTCTCCAATATGAGGGTCACACCGTCATCAGTATAGAAAGGACTGTGTGTTTATTAAAAAAAGAAACAAGGAATACTTTGAATAATAAGATTACCATCTCTAAGTTCCCAATTTGAAGTAATATCACAAACCTTATCTTTACAATTTTTTTTTTCTCTCTGGTTCCACTCTCCTGCTAAACAGAGACTTGATACACATATTTATTAAATCTTAATTTGGGTGAGCCTTATTTAAACAGTCTGTCAAGCATATGGTCTCCCTTTTTGTGGAGTGCATGATCTCCAAGACAAGAACGGAAACAACAGAAAGGCCTGAGGACAGTAGAGTCACGTGGCCAAAGCACTCAGCTGGTGTCCTGGTGAATGGGCAGGAAGTTATGGGGATAAATGCTCTTGGCAAAAAAGCACAATAGCAAGATGCCCATGGACCTGATGAATACCCAACTGTCATATGGTTGCCATTAATAAGGTCTTTTGGCCCATTTAAGCTGTTTCTTGAATGTTCCTTTCAGTACTTTTCCATTGTACAGTATGCATTATATGAATGACATGGCAGTCTTTAAAAAAAAAAAAGATTATTAAATAATTTTAAAGGAAGGAGAAAGGTAATGGATATGCGATTAATATATTTCTCCATCCATACAGGGCAGAGAAAATCAATGTTAAAATGAACAAAACACTTTTATATAGGCTAATAAATGTCAGGTTGGTTTGTATAGACCGACAAACAATAAAATCCAACTGAAAAATGTTTTATATATTAATGTACTGTTTCATGTTTAAGAAACTAGTGCAGCATTTATCAATATTGATGGAATGGTCCATTTTATTAGACTTTTTGAGATGGATCTTTTGCTAAATAAAACAGGCCTTATAGTTTGAATTGATTTCTTACACATTAATATAATCGAACTCCGCAGCATCAGTTACTCCGCCCAACAAGTAAACGTTAAGATCTGGTTGTTTTCAGATTGAATTTGCTAAATGCATCACAGTTCATCTTGTACATCACATTTGTGGTAGGAAGTCAAATTTTATATTTAAACGTACAAGGTCTGTAAATCTTCCCACCATACTATGTAAAAATAGCCTAATGTACCATGTTGATTTAGAAATGCTTTGCTTTTAAATGTGAAAAGATTTCTAGTTATGCAAAAAGGACAGTTTTTGTCAGTAATCTGTGTTTGGTGGAAATTTTGAGAGCTTGATATATCTGTTAAGATGATGTGGTCCTCTGCAGATACTTTTTGGGGTAAGGGCTTCCTGGCTACTGGTTCAAGGAACAGCAAGCCCAGACCGCAAAAAGACCTGAAAAGGACAAGACAGGGACCTGGAAATCAGCTTCGTATATATCTGAACAGAGAAAGGAGAGAGGGAAAGGGAGGGAGAGAGAATGAAAAGTGAATATCAGCCTTCTTTCATTTAGACATATTTCTTATAAACAATAATGAACACACATATCTGTCTTGATCAAATAGTTTAACAATTTGAAACCAGCAAAGGTTTGAATTTAAACTATTACAATTACACACTGTAATAAATTATTCAATTACACAGAATGAGCACCATTGCGTTGTTTCTTGCGCTCTTTGTGTTCTATCCAGACTAAATGGCCAGAAAATGGTATTTTCTGTGGATCACGTGTTGCATTTATGACGTGCAGCCTAAACTTCACGCATCACAGGTTAGTCCACTTAAACCAAAGCTCCTCTTTCTCGCTCGTTTGCGCAAGTTTAAATATAATTTCACCTGTGAAATTCTGCCAAAACGCACCCCGAAACCGTCATGCAAAACGCCCTTTCTATAGCATTGTACTCAGCATTGTATTCTTATTTGTTAGCGGGCCAAAGATGGTTGGGGTCAAGCGGAGTAGATGACGTAGGCATCCGTTAGGCTTACCTCACTAAATGCGTCATATGTGTAAAAGTGTCGCCCTCCCATGCGCGCTCTCCTCCCTTTTCTGATTGCGCTTCTGCCACAGTTCCTTTTAACGACTTTAGCGTTTTTTTTGTCGCCCAAATCTAAATCTAAGGGGCCTTTATCCAATCATTTTAACCCGTGTGTATCTCCATGTTCACATTGTGCGTAAATGTCCATCAATGAGAAATGAAACACCACATACGTGAACTGGAGAAACGCAAACGCACTGGTATAACTGATGTGGTGTATTAGGGCTGACGGAAGGAGGCGTGTTAATTAATCGGGTGCTGTCCGTTGTGCTGAACGGGCTGCTGTCCACGGTGCTGAAACCCACCCGCCGTGGTGAACGCCCTGTGCTGCACACACCCACAGTTTGGGGAAGAGATGGGGAAAGAAGGGGGTTTCGTCACACCGATGATACAAACACAGGTGCTTGCAATCTGAAACATAAAATTATAAACTCATGAACTTATTCAAATATGACTCTCCACAAGAGAATTTTGAAATCACTTTTTTTTGGATTGTGTCTTTCAATATCCCTCTTTCTCTCTGTGTATAGTTGTTTTAGGGGTGTGTGAATGTGTGTAATATTCTCTTTTATTGCGAGGGTGTTTGCTTCCCATGCATTTTTGAAAGGTTTCAATTGTTACATTTAACCAAACTGGTTTTGTTGCACAAAACAGGAACGTTTATAATACAATCCGTATAGTACTTGTTGCTAATGCTTTTGCGCTACCCTAGTCGGTTTGGTGTAGTACCGGACATAAATCGTGTTCATGTTTATGGAAGTGGATATGACCGACTAATTATTTCAGTTGTAAAGCCTACATGCCACTGTCCCACACCTTTAGCTGTATAATAAAACACATAAACGCATTTACGAATCGGACGGTTAACATATTGTGTGTTTGCGTTGTATTTTCCCATGCATAGGCTACTCGCAGGCGCCTGTTCTACACCACATTCAGTCACGAGTCAGAATTTGAAAAACGCAATTAAATAATTGGAAGTTATTTCGGACGATTTCAAGCTAAGATAAGTCAGCACTACGAAATGATGCACGTTTCAACAGTTGTAACAGCTCTAAATGGTTTTTAATAGCGCGCATAGGGACGCAGGGCGAAGCACGCGCGTTATAGCTCATTTATAGGCGCTTATAACCCGCTTCATAGAAACCATCTGAAACAGGGTGTTTTCTGCATGTGTTGAGTTTACAGATGAAGACAAAACATGCATCAGATTGTCTTTTAGAAAGTCAGAAATACATTACCAATGCTTCTACCAAGCCCCATTAAAGGGGACGACACAAGTCAACGCGACGTGAGAGTTAAAAGAAAATACATGTCAGACTTACCGTGTAAGCGATGCTTCAAGGAAGACGAGATCTTTTTCTTTTTCTTTTTTTTTTGTAATAATAATTCCGATAGATTCGAATGTGCTCCACTCACAATGATCTTTAATGTTTTCAAATTACACTCTGATGTTTTCATACATTTTAAACTAATCCATTTTGTCCTTTCCGCGTTTCTGGAAAATACTGCAAAATCTAATGGAAGCGCTCAATTCCTCCAGTCTGCTGTTGACCTGCATTGACGTCATTGCGTCATTAGGTTTCCCCTGGAAACACAGGCGTTCCAAAAATAGTAACACATTAATTCAACTCTGGCTGAGGGTTGGCGCAAGCGACTATTTGTATCAATCCATAATATTCTGATTCGCTCCCTCCCCCTACATTGTCTTCTTCTTTTTATCATTTTTTCTCTTTTCTTCTTCAGAGAGTGTAAAGCTCGCAAGGACGAGTGGCGCACGAGCAGGTACGACTTTACGACTATTTTAACGAGCGGGCAAGGTTATATAAATATCAAAGTGAGGGACAGAGCAGAGGAGAGTTGTTCTCAGGTTTGTTTTATTCCCGCCCGCAATCAAAAAAAAAAAAAAAATGGTAGTAAGAGCAGAAACAGCGCCACGAGGACAAAAATAGAAAGTGCCGAGCGCGAGCAGTCATCTGTCTGGAGAGCTCGTGAGTCCTCGCGTGTTCAGTGGGGAGCTCTACTAAAGAAACCTTACAAAAAGAAGAAATAGTGCCCCTGTCGTAGTTTGTTTAAGTGCTACATGCACATGCACATGTAATAATTTCTTCTGCTAACAAACACTTGATTTGGAAATATTTATCGGGTTAATGGTATGATCACCACTCATTGCCTTCATAGGCAGCCACAGGGTGAAGCAACGCAGCCATTCACTCATTCCCCATTCATTCATTCATTCATTCATTCATTCATTCATTCATTCATTCATTCATTCATTCATTCATTCATTCATTCATTCATTCATTCATTCATTCATTCATTCAGATCCATTGTAACGCATATGATGATATCGATATGTATTCACATAACACCGGAAATAAAATCTTTATTTTTTTTTCTATGGCCGAAACCTAGTCAACCATGTGCTCATCTCGAAGCAGTAATTCATTAATGATGAAATGCATCGGCCACTCCCTTTCTGAAATGGTATCCTTCAGTGTGTCTACACAGTAGCTTGCTTATTCCCTTGAGCGGTTTGTATGAATGTGAAGAATCTGCTCCCTGCACTCAGGTTCTAGCTGAGCATTAAATACTGACTGTGTTTGAATATTTTTATTCTGGGGAGGAGAAATCAAGGCTAACCAAAATCATGTGATCTATGCTACCTGAGCATACTGATTGTTCAAGTCAAGTCAAATTTATTTGTGTTGTGCTTTTCACAATGCACTTTGTTTCGATGTATAGCTTTACAAACATTATTGATGCACTCTAAAAAAAATGCTTGGTTGTTTTAACCCAATTTTGGGTCAAATATGGTCAAACCCAAATGTTGGGTTAAAAATGTCATTTAAAAATGTACACTCTAAAAAATGCTGGGTTGTTTTAACCCAACTTTGGGTCAAATATGGACTAACCCAGCCGTTGGGTTAAATTTTTACATTACATTTTTAACCCAACATTTCGGGTTTGTCCATATTTGACCCAAAATTGGGTTAAGTTGTTTTAACCCAATTTTGGATCAAATATGGTCAAACCCAAATGTTGGGTTAAAAATGTCATTTAAAAATGTAACCTAAATGCTGAGTTGGAACAAACCAGCATTTTTTTAGAGTGTGTTCATGTTTATAATATCATAATATCTTCATGTCTTGAAGCCTTATTTAGCAGATATAGATTTTGTGAAGATAATCAAGAGATTTGGTCTTCTGTTGTGATTCTTTTTTAGGCTATATTATTAATGTTTCCAGTTTTAAAAATATACATTGTTCAGGCAAAAAAGTGTTATTCCATGTATTATTTTATATTGTTATAAGGTGCAGAAAACTGTATGTTGTTTAGTGAGTAAAGAAAACATTTTATGTTACTCTGCTAACAGATTCATCAGTTTTATATATTCATAGGAAGATGTACAAGCACCCCAGAAAAAGCCACACATAATTTGTAATATAATGCAATGGCATTAATATATTTTAATAAGAAAAAATAATTTAAAAATTATTTAAATAAATATAGCACAACAGGTCAACAGTTTAAGCAAAACAGGAGTTCAGTTATAAATTATAAACCAGTAGATATACTGTTCAAAATGAAGACTTGTTACCTGCAGGCATTGGATGTATTTAAGCGGAATTATTTTTAGCTGACGTGTGTGCATGCTATGGTGTTCTTTGGGTTGTTTTTTAATTCTTTTGATTACTGTTTTTTTTTAATCCATGAATCAAGGGTTAAAATCCAGATTTCTGTAGCAACCTAGTACAGTCTCTTTAGCAAATCACGAAGCAAACACCTTTAATCAGTGAGATTTAAAAACGTTCTCATACAGTAAACTGCAGACATTATGTGATAATGGGAGACGGGCAGTTGTATTGTGCACAGCATATAGTGACCTTTTTTAAACGTGTGTGTGTTCTGTGTGTAGACAAAACCTACAATAATGCTTACTGTATATCATCACCAAATACATTTAGGCTGGTAGAGGTGTGGACTATGTTAACTTCACCTTCACATTTTTTTTTTTACACCTTTAGCATTATCTTTTCCGTTAAAAATCAAATATAGCAGGTCATCTGGGTTACTCCCTCTTTAGCAGAGGCTCCACTCTGTACATGACAGATTCAAGTGTCAGCAGGCTTCTTCTCTTTTAACTGCTGATGCCATCTACTGGTAAAAGAGAACAACTGCAAAGGAACTTGCCCAAAAGAGCATAACAAGCTCATGATTACAGTTTTCGTAATATCAATTTTGGAAAGTTTTGATTGAACGTAGTGAGGAAATTCTGCTCAAAGTTAGTAAATCAGCTTAATATATTCAAGAATTCAAACCTTTTGCATTGAAGGCACTTCAATTAAAGTTTTCGAGAAACTTACTATGACAATGGTTTAACACTGTCAAATAAGTTGTCAAATCAGTTAAAGTAAAGGCTTAAACATTTTTGTGTATGCTAACGTCTAGATTTTAAAATAATAACAGACAGATAATGCACACTTGACAAACTGCGTCTGTTTGCTCAACAATAGGAAAAAAGCGACTTAAGTTCTTCCAAAAGCTGAAAATTCTATTATTGTTTATATTAATGTCTTTTGAAACCTGCGTAACTGACTTTCTTCTGTGGAACACAAATGGAGATGTTTAGCAGAATGTCCAAGCTGCTCTTTTCCATAAAGTGAAAGGTGACCATGGCCATCCTTCAGGATTTCCAAGGCCAGATTTTCATTTGATAATGACTGAAAATTCAGTCCTCACTCAAAGTTCTTGTAAGGTTCTCTGCTCAGACATTCCTTTTGTTTTCCACATATGAAAGACGGCCATATGGGTTTGGAACAACATAAGTGCGAGTAAATGGTGACAGAACATTCATTTTTCATGTAGTAACTATCCCTTCAATTTCATTCCACCATTTTAAGCTGCATATTGTCTGCAGTCTGTATTTATGTTGGACAAGTTACAGTTGGATAATGTCTATTCCCAATATCTTCTGCTGATACACTGGCAAAAATATTATTTTTGTGCGTTTTTGTTATTGTGACGACACCACAAATGCAGACTTTATTAGTTTAGTGAGGTAGAGAGAAGCAATAGTAACTACATTTGGTCAAAATGGAGTGTGAAGACTATTATCAGTTCAACAGAATAAAAAATAAGACCTTTTTTTCCTCAGTTTCAGTGTTGGGGCAGTTATTGTTTTTGGTCTTTGTTTGGCAGTAGATTTATAAGGAAATGTAATAATTTGATATTACACATTCATATTTTAATATTTACATAACAAGCTTTAAAATGTTTAACGTTTTCTTTTTTAATGGATGGATTCAATTTGTCCTTTAAAAAGTTCAATCTGTAAAAAGAATAAATAAGTTAAAAGGTTAGTTTGAGTTTTGTATGTTATGCCTACGGTATTTTGCTATGCTGGTGAATTAATCTGAGCCAATTCTGGGCTGAACTCCAGGTGAACTTTTATATTCATCCAGAAAAATGCATTTATATTAAGGGCACATGCCAAGCAATGTGAAAGTTCTGCATCCATTGCGCGTTCTTTCAGTATATGGATATGTACGCATTTATAAAAATGTGGAACCAAAAATAAAAATGTGAATCTCCCCTTAAGACAAAATCTCTCTTTAGTGAGTCTCCAGTAGTCAGAAGTTATTTGAACACCAGGGGGCAGAAGAGGTCATTAAGCAATGAGAATCCTTTTTTCTTTTTTTTAACTTTTCAAGCCAACTTAGTCTTCTCTTGACCGACCCTGCACTTTTTCTGCTTCAGTGCATGGAAGCATCCTCGTGTGTGTGTGTGAGAGAGCCACACAACAGAAAAAACAACTCACTTATTTGAACAACACGCTATTTTATCAAAACAATATTTTAGGGTATGCATTGCACCTATTTTGCTGTGGTTATCGTTTTTGTAACACCATATTATTTACGTTACCGTTTGAACAAAAGCCGTTTATGTTCAGAAACATTCAAGAAACTCACAAATGGTATGAAAGCCAAAAAATCTCAATTGATCTCTCCTGATTGCATTAGGGGTTGAGTCGGACTGTGTTATGAAAAACCTTTGTAGAAAACCTTCAAAGATGCTTAATGAAAACAGATAAAGGAAACGAAAGAGAGAGAATGAGATATGGGGTATGAAAGAGAGCGATTGAAGATAAGGAGTAAAGATGAGTGAGACTGCAAGCTTATCAAAGTTCAGTTATTGTATTGTTCCTCAGCTCCAAGATCTGAAGCAGGCTAATGATCTTGGTGACCTTCAGAGGAGATCAGAATGCTTACGAGGCAGAACAGCAACTTCAAGGTCTGCTTTGGCCTCCCTTTTATCATTAATTAAGTCATGTTAATTGCTGGATTAGAGAGAAAAGGTCTCAGGGAACCAAAGACCGCAGAGCATCTGCCCTTGACATGACATGGAAGAGAAAGGTGAAGCTGTGAGATCAGGATTGTGTGCTTCTGATCCAGATGCATTATATGTTTCTCAATCTCTTTACAATGTGACTTAAAGATTTAATCAAGATGACGATTTAAAACAAACTAATTCATATTTTCTGTCAATGAAAAAATATGATAAAACTTTATGTATAATGCATTATAAAGTTATTAATTGTAACCAAAGTTAAAATACATTGGTATTTGCAAATTCCTAATTGTAATTTAAGAAATTGATTGTTTGTCATGTGTTTGAATGCACTATAAGTATTTTTATGTTTAATGGTTACCATATGCATTATAAAGCAGATTTCTTAACAAACGTCGACTGGGATTTTTTTTT